TACCCTGGGAGGGAGGAGCTCCGGGCAGCTGGGCCCAGGAAGGCGGGAGGGAGGGCCAGGCCAGGCCAGGCCGAGAAGAAGGCCTCCAATCCTACAGGTGTGAGGGGGGCGCGACGCATTTAGCCCTCCCCTCTTAGCGAAGGGGGTCAGCAACTGGCGGCCCTGGTGCAGAAACCGGCTGTAGGTGGATCTTGCCCCTCCTTTTCCTTCCAGGCGGCGAAAGGGTCAGGATTCTGGCAGCCCCTCTGGGTCCTTTGCACCCCCCCTCCCTTTCCTGTTGGCTGAAGGGGGAATGTGTGTGGGGGGGGTTGTATCCAGCCCTGCCCCAGGTTCTGAGTGTCGGGAAAGGGCAATGCATCTCTCTCATCGGCGAGTGGTCTTGATTTTATTGGGGGGGGCTTCAGGAAGAGAGACCTCACTTTCTGCTTGAAATAAGAGGGGGGCTGGGTTTGAGGGAAGCAGATTCTGCCAGGAATTTTGGGGGAGGTGGCCTTTGCTGGTCTGCCTCAGGCGGCCAAATTTCTCGGGCTGGCCCGGCTTAGAGCCTGAAATGGCTGCTGCTCCTTAACGATAAAAGCCGGAAGGGACACAGCTAGCAGGATTTCATGGGGAGGCAGACTAGCCTAGGCTGCAGGTCCTGGCAGGGTTTTGGTGGAAACTTTACTTATTAGTGTGCATTTAGTGTGGGACCTTGTGCATCCTCCTCTTCCATGGGGAAAAAGGATCTTCCCTTGAGGGAACCCGCTCTCGCAAGGGGTGAACAAGTTTAAGCCAATCTGCAGTCTTTTCACACAATCCAGGTAGTAGTTTAGAAGCAGAAAGAAAAGTGGAGTAAGCAGTAGATCTCAAAGTGGGATCTCACCTAGTTTGGGGTTAGCAGATCTGAAGCATATTCCTTTTTTTCATTGTCTCTTTCTAGCCATAGAAGTAGTTGCCATAGTAGTTTACCAAGTGCTTTGAGGAGCGTGGTTTCTCCCGCTGACTCTTCTCTTGTTGAATGCTCAAATGCAGAAGACGGGCGTGATTTCTGTGCCTTTTGGCGGTTGGGCAGAGCAAAGAGCTTTGCGGGTGCAGGACACAGGAGTGTGAAAAGCAGCCCCCACTGGAAACCCTGTGGTGTATCTAGCTGTGCCCACTTTATTGGAGTTACTTTAAATAGCAACAGACGGGGCCTCTTCTGGCAGAGATATCTGTGTATTGCAAAGCATGTAGTCTACCACTAAGCAGATCTTGGGCAGATTATGTTTTTTTTGGGGGGGGGGGAAATTTAGGCCGGTTATTTGTCCCAGCCAGCAGGGACAGGTTGCTGGAGTGTCCTGGGAGTCGTAGTCCCCAAAACGAACCACCTTACTTCTGTGTTAAGGAGCTGCTACCCTGGAAGGGGGCAATTTGCTCTCAGGGCAAATCTGTGCCTTGGCAACCAGCTTCTTCTTTTCCTTCTTCCTAGTTTCTCACCATGGGCAACGTCCTGGCTGCCAGCTCCCCGGCGCCCCCTTCTACAGTGCCCGGACCAGGTTCGGGCCTAGTGTCGGTGCCCCCTGGCTTCTCCATGCCCCCTGTCAGTGGTCTGGTTCCCCCGGCGCAAGATCGCCCCTCAGAAGACAAGTGTGGCCAGCTTCCCAACCCAGGCACGTTTGAGGAGTGTCACCGGAAATGCAAAGGTAAAAAGCTTCCTGGTAACGAAGGCAGCATCTGCTGTGCAAAGAAAGATACTGCCAGAGCTGAACAGCGGAGGTGGTGCATGCTTGCCTGAGATGTGGAAATCCCAAAACATGATTACATTTAGGTTCACTCCCATCCAATGCCTGTGTTTAGAGCAGCTGCCCTGCTCTGTTGCCTGCCAGGTGGGTATAACTTTATGTGATCCTCAGCCTGCCTTAAATAATAACACACAAGCTAATTCAGAGCTGTTTAGAACCATTAAATCAGATTCTGCCTATCATCTGTACATAGAATGTCTGATTAACCACTGCTGCACAAATTTATATATCTAGGTTATTTGGAAAGGTTCTGAAAATGTAATTTCTTCCTGGGCAAGCCAATGTTAGTTTTGGGAATGCTGAAAGTTGGAGTAGTCCCCCAAAAAGGCACCTTTCAAGGACTCTGCCCAATAAGGGAATGCAGCCAAGCTAGAATCCCATGTTCAGAGGCAGAATGTGGCTGAACATCAGCTGCCAGCAGGCATCCAGGAAGAAAAATTACGCTTTCCACGTCTTGTTAAACAGGCTTCCTGACTAGCCCAAATAGGTGATTGTATGTTGCTGGGATTGCTTTGCTGTAAAGGGCTTTTTACTCAGGTCATCAACAATCTGCTCTTGTGTTTGTGACTCACAGCTTTTTAAATCCCACTTACCCAAAAAAAAGCTTAAAGACAGTCAGAAGACTGTCTCGGTCAAAATGCTTGCAATCTGAAGCCTGCCTCAAAAGTTTTTTCCTGGCCCGAAAGGACAGGGAGGGAAGAGGAGAAAAGAAGCAAGTAAACTTTCAAGGAAAACTGATGGAATGGCCCTGTTTCTCCTGTGGTTCCCTCTGGTGCTGCCTGCTTTTTAATTGCATTTTGGTTATATCTGAACCTTGTTAACTGTGGGCTGCTGCAAGTGGAGGAAAAGCAGGGATAAGGCACTCAACAGTAGCCAGAGGTTGGGAGTTTGATTCTTCACAGTCCTTCCTTGACGGGGGCTGGATTTCATAATCCAGAAGGTCCCTTCCAGCTCTGTAGTTGTAAGATGATGGTAATTACATTGGTCTGATTTCTTCCTTTTCTCTCCATTTCAGAACTATTCCCCATCCAGATGGAGGGGGTGAAGCTGGTTTCTTCCTTTTCTCTCTCCATTTCAGAGCTATTCCCCATCCAGATGGAGGGGGTGAAGTTGACGGTGAACAAAGGTCTCAGCAATCACTTCCAGGTAAGAGGGACTCCTTTGAATTGAGAGATATTTTGGAATAATCACCCTTAGAACATCGGACCTTGCACTTAACATCTGGACACACCGGAGCCAGGATTTCTACCTGAGTGCCTCTGAGCCCAGACTTTGCCTGTTCCTTCCCTTGCTCACCAGCAGAGGGCAGCAGGTTGAGGGAAATCTGAGTTTCATTCCCTGCTTAACTTTTTTAATGTGATGTGCTACAGTAGTTTTTGAACCTGCCTGGAAGCTGAACTATGAGTTGCATTCCCTGCTTAACTTTTTAAATGTGATGTGCTAGTTTTTGAACCTGCCTGGAAGCTGAACTCTGTTCTGAAAGCTTCACCTGCTTTGTTTTATTGTCTGGTTCTTCATTAGTGGAAGGAAGGTGCAGTTCGGTGCAGAACTGGGGAACTATGGTCTTCTCAGTTGTTGCTCAACTACAACTTCCATCAACCCCACCCCAAACAAGTTTGGAAGGTCACTGTTTCCTGCTTCCTTCCTTCTAAGGACTTTATGTTTCTCATTCCTTCACACACATGAGCCCTGATTTTGGAAATACCTTCTGGGACTAAATCTCATGTCCTCTTATTTCTAACCTGTCTCCACTTACAACTTAATTCAGACCTGTTATGGGGCTTATTTGTTACTGGGCTTTGTTGTTGTTTTTTGGGGGGTGTTGCCCTCCAAGGTGTCAAATGTCCAGAGCCAGATGTTTTACTGGGGAGGAACTGGTGGTTTGGTGATCATTGAGTAGTTTGTGATGCGGGTTTTGGTCAACGAAGTGCCTTGGTTTGGTCAGATTTCCTGGTGGGGGAAAGAGTATTCTGAGGGTAGCTAAGTTGATGACCTCATTGAGGCTGCTTTTCCTCTCTGAGTGGCTCAAAAGGGTCAGAATACCTGGCAGGGTGGAATAATGCATCTGAGCCTCCTCGGGTGTTACTGGACAACAGTTCCCATTAGCCCCAGTCATTGTAGCTTGTGGTCAGCAGTGATGGGAGCTATAATCCAGCAAGGGTCACTCTTTCCACCACCCTAGAGCTGAGATCTCTGGGAAGACTTTATACACTTTTCGTATCAGAATTGGCTATGAACGTTCTTGAAAGAATGCTTTCTTTTTTAGTTACATAAACATTTCCTCTTAATTACTTACTCTTTTGTAAATTCCACTTTCATTTGGGAAGTTTTTGGGTTCTGCTGGATATTTGGGACTGCAATCCCCAGCTGCATCAGCCAGTATGTATAATGGAGAGGGATTATGTGAGATAGTCCAGACGTCCTTCCGCTCTGCTGGGAGTGTCTTCCACTCTGGAGGTGTGCATCTTTGCTTAGAAATAGTTCTCATTGATCTCCTGTGGTTTTCTCCTGGTAAAGTGTGAGCACGATTACGTATTTGGATCTGGAACAAGTAACAATCAGAACCCTTCCAAAGCAGTGATTTTTTTTTATCCTTTTGGTTTTGTTTTTATTTTAAAAGCAGCTGGCGGCATTGTATTTTCTGGTTTTCATCAGCTGTAGTGGTGAATGTGTGTAACCATTTCCCTTTGCTGTCTCTAATCCACAGAAGGTGGAGTCAGAGAAGCTTAGATCAGGGAGAGGGCCTAAAGGTCGTACACCCACATCCCCTTCTTAAGAAAACTCATTTGGAGAGTTCTAATAGCCACTAGCTATTTTTACAAGCATGTTTGCATATTAATCTGTGTAGATGTTCACATACTTGCTAGCTGAGGTCAAACTGTGTTCCTCTGGGCATCTAAAAGATGCTCATCTGAAAGATGAGCAAAGGGCTGTTAATTTAAGGAGCTGAGCATGAGGTTGCCTGGAGACTGCCCTTGCTCACTGACAGTGATTGGATGAGTTTAGAAGCAATTTGGGGGGGGGGGATGTAAATTGGTGGTCCTTGTCACTGCTTCATGCACTCATCTCTCCCTGCAAGGATGTAAATTGGTGGTCCTTGGCACTGCTTCATGCACTCATCTCTCCCTGCAGGTCAATCACACAGTGGCCCTCAGCACAGTCGGTGACTCCAATTACCACTTCGGGGTGACCTATGTAGGGACAAAACAGCTTAGCCCCACAGAGGTAAGTTTGCATGCCGCCCGATGGTGCCTGTGTGTATCTTATTCCTGTATAACCTGAGCAGCTCATACCACAGTTATTCCTCTGTCAAGGGTGGTCACTCTCGCTTCCAATTCTGACTGGATGGCCTTGACTTGGGGAGCTACTAAAACTGGACCGACTTCTTTCAAGATATTGGATTGGGGCCTAGTTCCTCATCCATTTTAACACTGGTTAAAACTGTTGCATTTGAAAGTGGCTTTAGTTCAGGACTCAGGAAATGAGCGAAAACCTTAAAGTCCCTTTGTTGACCTTCATAGCGGCTGTATGCGCTTTCTCATCTTACGTAGTTCTCATAGTCACCTTGTAGACCAGGGGGCGCAGTTTTGGCGGATCCAGCCTACAGCACCTGCTGTAGGTGAGGTGAAGCTTTTTCTAAAAATGTTTCTTAAATTGGAAGGGATTGGAAGTCCATTTCTGTTTGTTTGTTTTTTTTCAAAAAGAACCATGAAAGATTTTTTCTCAATAAATCAAGGCTGCAGGCTAGGATGCAGGGAATCTACAGAAACGGTCCTTGCCTCCTCGCAGACTATACCAGGGAGGAAAGTAGGATATTGATAAATCAAATGAACCAAACATTTCATGTATCCTTTTTGCTTCTCTTTCAGGCATTTCCTGTGCTGGTGGGTGACATGGACAACTTCTGGTGTATCCAACCGTGTATCCATTTGCTTCTCTTTCAGGCGTTTCCTGTGCTGGTGGGTGACATGGACAACAGTGGTAGTCTCAATGCACAGATAATTCACCAGCTCACAAACAAAGTTCGCTCCAAGGTGGCCTTTCAGGTACTAGACTTGCGTGAAGCCAAACGGCTGGATAATCTCTTTCAACAAGGTTGAACTAGCTCTGTTTGAGGTCTCGTTTGTGGACCTGGGCTCTCTCCTTGCTGTCATGTCCTCATTTTCATTGTGAAACAGAGGGGAGATTTAGCTTGGTGTGCCTCGGAGATACTTGGCTTCCCCAACCGTAGTCTGTTAGTCAAGGATATCTTGAAGTAACCCAAGATAATATTTCTGCTATCTTATTTTAGCTTAGGCATATTGACATGGATGGTTTGTAGCTGTGTGTCTTTTGGTGGGACGGGAGTATCTTTATTGCTGAGTGATTTCGGTCTTGACCTGTATTATTCTGTGATAAATTGTTTGTTGCAAACAACCAAAAATAATTGTGTTTCTCCCTCCCCTTCTCTTCTTCCTGTTCCCCACTTCCTCGTGTCCCAGACGCAACAGTCCAAGTTTGTGAACTGGCAGGTGGATGGCGAATACCGGGGTGCCGACTTCACAGCAGCCGTCACACTAGGAAACCCCGATGTTTTAGTTGGCTCAGGTGAGGAGCCTCCCGGCTGTCTTCGCAATGACCTCTCCCCACGTAACCTTCTTTTCTCCCTTGTCCTGGCTCTTGACCCACATTCTTTGCCCTGCAGTGCCGTGGGGTCTATTTCCACCTATGAGCTGCTGACGCGAGTCCCCTTCTTTACTCCACAGGGATCCTGGTGGCGCATTATTTACAGAGCATCACCCCGTGCCTGGCGCTCGGTGGAGAGCTGGTCTACCATCGCCGTCCGGGAGAGGAGGGAACAGTTATGTCACTCGCTGGGAAGTACACAGGTAGCCATAGCACGTGCGAAAAGTCAGGGCCCGCGGATGGCGTACTGGCTGTGCACGCAGCCTGATTGCGGTGTGTTTGGCTCAGGACTCAAAATAGGGCCTGAGAGAACGGCATCATCGTGGCTTTCATTTAAACGCCAAACAAAAGAAGATGGCTGGTCGCTTGAACGATGCATTTTTCCTCAGAAAAAAAAGCCTCTATGAGTTAAATAGGTTTTCTTCCTTGGGTTATATCTTTTGCAACCTTAGTCATGTCTACGCAGAAGGAAAATGCATTCCATTATTCAGCTCTCCCATCCTATCTTGGTCTGGAGTTCTTATTTGAATTATCTAAAGCAATGCGGGCATGGTAGTCTCTAGAATATTTCTGCATCTTTTCTCCCCTCCTTTAAATAATCCTTTAAGTACTTGAAATGGCACAGTTTCTGCCCTTTTAGACCACCCAGCTTCAAGCTCTCTGCTCTGGCCTTGAGTGAGGTTGAAGCATCTGAACATAAAGCTATTAAAAGGAGCTTTGCTAAGACAGTCTATTTAGTCTCGGCGGGGGCCTGTTCAGCCACAGATGGAACAAAATGTTCTGCCTCTGTTCCTTATGCAAGCCAGGCTGCCCTAGACTCCAAAGTGACCAAACTGCGGAAGGCGTCCAAATAGGAAGTGGCCAGAGCTTCATTTCTAGTTTTGATTTCTGGGGAACAGCTGGGGAGGGGGAAGCATTTTGAACCCCACTTCCAACACACACACACTTCAGGATGTGGTGGCCATGGAGGTACAAAACTACCTTGAGAGTTACGTACTGCATGCAAAGTGGAGTTTGCTGGCCACTGATTTTTATTCAAGGGTGTTGAATCTGTCGTCTTCCATATACTGTGCAACTGCAGCCCTCTTAATCACTGGCCGTTCTTTTTACTGCCTGGGGTTGATGAAATTTGAAGACCCATGAGCTTCAAAGGGACACAATTTTTCTTGCTTTTGATCATATAACAGGCACTCCGTATTATTCCCCCCCAAGCAGGGGACAGAGAAAACCACCTTTGTTTCCCACCCACCCACCCTCTGTGAGTAGCCCTTAGAAACACGTTGCTTCTGAATTTGGAGATTCCCTTTTAGCTGTTGTGATTCATATTTTTCAATCACGTCATGTATTCTTGATTGTTATTATAGCTGAATTGCTTTTTTAAGTCTCTTTTAACGTGTGGTGCTTCCAGCATTTACTTGTTTTAACATGGAGAGCCACTTTAGCCGCCGCCCCCCCCAAATCCCCGGGCAAAAGGTGTTCTAAAAAGGGTACAAAATAAATTAGAACAATTGTATGTGGGTTCAGGTCCATTGAAGAGAGAAGGGGCTACGGCTTCTTTGAAAGCGAGCCTGGTCTCGAGACCTTTCCTCCAAACAAAACAGCCTTTTTATCCTTTCCCGCAGCACCTAACTGGATCGGAACCCTGACAATAGGGCAGGCGGGAGCACATGCCACGTATTACCACAAAGCCAACGATCAGGTAAGTAGGCTTGGAGGTGGAGCTTAAGGAGTAAATGACCTTTTCAACTTTGAGGTTGTGTTTTCCCCGGGTTTGAGGGCCGAGCGAGATCTATGGGGCAGCTCAAGGGATCCCATCTCCGGGATCAGAGGCTGGAAACGGGAGTACTGTACAACAGTGTCGAAGATCTGATTCTAAGGCAGCTTTTGTGAGTCTAGGCTGGTGCCTGTTGTCAGTCCTGGGCTGGATTTGGGAGGGCTAACAAGCGGAAGCTTAATAGGACCAAGACGGAGGTGCTCCTGGTCAGTCAGAAGGCAAATTGCAGGATAGGGGTGCAGGCTGTGCGGGGTGGGGTTACGCTCCCCCTGAAACGGCAGGTTCACAGCTTGGGGGTGCCTCTGGACTTAACCCTCTGCGTGGATTCACAGGTTTCAGTGGTAGCTAGGAGTGCCTTTGCAGTGTTAAAACTGGTGCACCAGTGGCACCCGTTCCTTGGGATATTTGATCTGGCCCCTGTTACCCATGCCTTAGTTACCCGTTTGGGTTGTCAGGCTGCCTTGGAAGAGTGTTCAGAAGCGTCAGCTGGTTCAAAATGCTGCCGCCAGATCGCTGTCTGTGCTGTGTTTACAAGAAGCACGTCATCCCTTATTCCAACAGCTTCACTGGCTTCCAGTCTGTTTCCATCCCCAAGTCAGAGTGCTGGTTATTACCTGTAAAGCCTTATATGGCTTGGGTCCACGTTTTTGAAGGATCTTACCACCCCATATGAGCCTTCTTAGCTTTTAAGATTTTCTGGGCAAGTCCTTAGTTCCACCACCTTCCCAAACATGTTTGGCGAAAACAGGAAAGGGGGGGGGGCTTTTTAGTGGCTGCTCCCAAGCCTTGGAATGTGCCACCCCAAGGAGCCAGATTGGCCCCCGCTCTCTTGTCCTTCCATCAACAGACAAAGACCCGTGAAGCAATATGTGTCCTGGGAATGCTTTGTTTATTTAAACTTAGAGATGGTTTAAAATAGTTTTTTTAATCTTAGTTGAGTCTTGATACATGTTTGATTTTAAATAAAATATGGTATTTTAAAGCTCTTAATTGTTGTATACTTTTTAAAGCTGTTTTGAGCCGCTTTGGGTTCCCAAGTGGGGAGAAAAGTGGCATAAAAATGATATAAATGAATAGTACATGGTTTTCCCAGCATCATACAGCAACACCTCTCCTGACCGCAGAGGTTCCCATGCTTTCCTTGGCAGTCAAACTCATCTCTCTCTGTCCTCTTCCAGTTGCAGGTCGGAGTGGAACTCGAAGCCAGCACTCGGATGCAGGACACAAGCGTCACGTTTGGGTACCAGCTGGACCTCCCCAAAGCCAACCTGCTCTTCAGAGGTACGAAACCGGCCACTGTCACATGTTTTTAAAAGGATGGTAATTCACCATGGAGAAAAGGGGTGGTGGAGAGAGAAGACATCTGGGTCTTCCAATCTGAATATTGGTACCTTTTATGGAATACATCTCCCTGAAATCCCCAGCCAGCATGATGGGACTTGTAGTTGGCAAATCGACTCTTCCCAAGCATTGTGTTTTGTTAGGATGCAGTGGTATTCATCTTTGGGTGTCAGCACCCACAGATGTCAACTCCCTTCCCTTTGTGTCGTCACCCTCCTGACATGATTTTTTTTTTCTCCTTCCATTCAGGTTCCGTCGACAGCAACTGGATCGTGGGGGCCACGTTGGAGAAGAAGCTCCTGCCGCTTCCCCTGACGTTGGCCATGGGCGCCTTCCTTAACCACCGGAAGAACAAATTTCAGTGTGGTTTTGGCCTTACCATCGGCTAAGATCCCTCCCTCAAAAACCTCCTTTCTTCTCTTCATCTCCACTGGTTGAGTGCAGCCTGTGCCCCCCCTTTTTTTATCCTCCCACCTGCATCCTCCTTCGGCCAGCAGTTACCTCCATGGGATGCAGACGGGGAGGTCGCCCGGGGTGTATGGGGTCGGGAGGAATGTATGTGGTCAAGGAGAGTTCCCTCTTGTTTCTTTTTCTGTCTCCCTCCCCCCCCCCAAAAAAAAAGAGCGGTTAGCTGGTTCTCAGGGAACTTGACAGGAGGAAATCCTCCTTCGGCCAGCAGTTACCTCCATGGGATGCAGACGGGGAGGTCGCCCGGGGTGTATGGGGTCGGGAGGAATGTATGTGGTCAAGGAGAGTTCCCTCTTGTTTCTTTCTCTCTCCCTCCCCCCCAAAAAAAGAGCGGTTAACTGGTTCTCAGGGAACTTGACAGGAGGAAACGGCTGGAGGAGGCTTCGTCTGCCTGTGTCTTTTCAGGCGTCGACCCCAAGGGACGGTTCATGACAGCAGCTGCAGCGCCTGCTTGGCCGACCGTCCGCCACAAGGGGGAGGTGTAGCTTCAGGAAAGGGCCCCGGGAATCGGACGCAGCTTCTTTTAACCGAAAGGAATCAGTGCTGCTAATGCAACACGGGAGGGAGGTGATGGGGGTCATACCTGGGCAAGAGATTTTTGGGGGTGTGGCATAGCATGCATTTATGGTCCCTACACCTGAAAGAGGGAAGGAGTTGGGTGCTCTGTGAGGCAAACTGCCTGCCCACCCAGCCCGACGCACCATCCTCTTTAGAAGAAACGGAGATCTCTCTATTTGCACAGTTCTGTAAAAAGCATCCAGGTGACCAGTCCTCAACCTCCAGGCCTTGCACGCCACCAGCCACACTCCTCTGTTGCTCCTGCTACCTGCTGGGAGGGCATTTCCAGCTCCCCAAGTTGGCATCCTGGTATATATTATTTTCTAATGCAGTTTTGGCCTAATCATTGGCTAATATGCCCGCCCCCAGCTCCTTTCTTTTCCTCTTCATCCCCACCAGTTGAGTGCCGTCTTTACCTGCACCTGCATCCTTGTGTGGCCAGTGGTAGCATCCATAGGGTGTTGTGCATTTAAAAGAAAAACAGCGAACCTTGGTGTCTTCAGTCTGGGATCTCTTGCTGCCTCCCTTCAGAATTCCTTGTGGCCTGCGTTTCTCCCCGCCCTGCTCTTGTCCACATCCGGGGTTTCAGGAAGTCATCCTTTCGCGCTGGTGTTTTCTGGATGTCTCGGCACTGTTTGTCCTTGTTGACTCCTCATCCGCCCTGATCCCTCCTGCCTGTGCTCTAAAGGGACCATACAGAGAAAGACACCGGCTCTGCCTTCCTGCCGCCGTTGCCACCAACCCCTCCGGAGACAAGTGGGGGAACCCTCTGCATGCTCTCCTCCTCTCCCACCGCCAGAGACTGAGTGTAAATCATGTTTATAAGTTATGGGAATGAAAGGATCTTTTACAGAAGAAAAACAAAACCAAAAAAAAAGAGTCCCGCTAGTTGAGAGCCGCCTCCCTCTCTGTGAAGTTGGGAATATCCGGTTTCAATTAAAGAAAAACAAAAACACACTGCCTGCAATGTTTCCTGCCTGCTGCTGTTGTTTTCTTGTCTATTGACGCACTAGTGTTTTCTGGGCCATTTGATGTGGTCCCAGAGGTATCGGGTACACATGGCCCTGCTCCCCCCCCCCAGTGTGTCTCTGTAGCCAAGATCCAGGCTGAGAAGGCGAAAGTTCTTCTAAAACCCACACAATACTGTTCAGCCTTTAGGTTTATTAGCTTTTTGTTCTTTAGAGATGGACGCAAACCATTGATTTAGCAGTTTTGTGCCAGTTCGACGGATGGCTGAACAGGTGGTTCGGTATCCTGCCCCCTCTGGTGGGTGCCATCCTACCTGCCCTTTGTCCGAGGCAGGATCATCAACCCCCCCAGAAAGAGGGACGTGGAGCGATGTCTGCAGATAGACTTCCAAGAGGACGCAATTCCAGGAGTTACTGCTTGGCTGAATCTTGACCATGCAGGTCCTGAAGATTTCACCAAAAACAATAGTGTCCCTCTTGCGCTACACGTAGGAGAGGAAATGCATCATATTCCTGGCCTTTACCTGTCCTATATCATTTCCCCTTCATTTGCAGAACAGGAACAAATCCTGAAATGGGTTGATGAAACAGCAGCAGTTCTTCCATAGGTATGCACAAACTCGGCATGGCTGGTGGCTGCTCTTTTAATCATCCCAGGCTCGCCGGGCAACGTTATTAACAGAAAGCCACCCTTTGCCTCCCACCGCTTTCTACTTGTGGGTCTCACCCTGCAACCTTCCATTCCTGTCTTTATGCACATCACCAGCCAGCGTGGAGTGCTGTGTCTCGTCTGGGGCAAAGACCAGCAATCTAAGATCTAGTATTCTTTTAGCCATCCTTTCAGATGTTCAAAACAGGTTCATATTTGATTTACTCTTCAGGCAGCCCTGTGAGATAGCTTTGTGTTGCTCCCGTTGTGGAGATAATCAATTGATCTCTGGGTCACAACAGCGTGAGTTCCAAGGAGCAGGATGTTGGATCATCTGCCTCTCCCTTGTGGCTTTTCTATTTTCCCTGAGCTGCAATCCATATAGTAGCTGGGAGAGAAATGGATTTTCCCAGGCACCATTTAAAATTCCAAGCTATCTCTCTTGTAATGGAAAGGGTGTTCTAGTCTTGAATGGACAAACAATAGCCATTAACTACAAAATACTTACTTGTTGATGCGGACCAATCCAGCTGTCTGTAGTTTTGGAATTTCTTACTTGGCATGGATTTTTGTTTTCATTACAGTTGCCAGAATTCAGCAGGAATTCCCCTAACCAGAATTTTGATAATGTTAGCTTTTTAAAAAATCAAGTTCTGGGGGTAATTTTAGGATACATATCTGTTCCTTACTCTGTAGCGATGACCACTACAACATGGAGAAGTACGTGGGTGGAGTTTTCTATGTTCCATAGTAACTGCAAAGCATTAGAGGACTGGTAGCTGTTTTTTAAAATGCATCTCCCTAGATCAGGGGTCTCAAACATGTGGCCCGGGGGCCATTTGCGGCCCGCCGGATGATAGTTTGTGGCCTCCGCCTTGCCTGCCCCCCGAAGTGCCCACATGTCCTCTGCTGTCAAGAGTCAAAAAAAAGCCTCACCTCGCTCGCCAGCTCTCTCCCAAGACAGCGCCTCTTGCACTCTCCATCCAGAACTGCAGCCAGACTGCCTGTCTGCCGGCTGGCAGGCTGCAGTTCCGGATGGAGGGTGCAAGAGGCGCTGTCTTGGGGGCGAGCAAGGCAGCTGCCAGCCCTTTTTCCCGAGCACCCACTCTGCCTCCAGCGGCCCCCAGGTAAATTGAGTTTGATGCCCCTGCCCTAGATCCTAAAGAACGGAGAGACTACTGGTCTCTAATGCTTTGTCGTTCCCAGGGAGCTTAGAAACCTCCACCATTGTCTTCATATCTGTTGCTGCAGAGAGAACCGTAGCAAGGAACAGCTATATGCCCCAAACCTCCTCTAAGGACGTTATTTTTTTTCTTATGTTTTGGATAGAGCTACCCAAATTCTACCTGGAGGAATACTTGCTGAATTCTGGGGGCTGTAATGGGGAGTTTTGGACTCTGTTGGCAGTTGAGCTGGATGGCTCTTAGGACGGCCTTGTTGAGGCACCTCCAAAAGAATTGGCATACTCGCGCTTTGCCAAAAGTTTGGCTTGTTCCATATATCACAGTGATGGGTGTAAAACTAGGCAATCCGCAGAAACTACTTATTTGGACTCCGCCATGTTCTCTTTCTGGTTCAGAATCCCAAGCCAACACACAAGTTAGCTATGCAGGCTACACATTGCCAGCAAGCTGGGTGCTCCTTTTACTGACCTCAGGAGGATAGAAGGTTGAGTCAACCTTGAGCCGGCTACCTGGGATTTGAACCCCAGGTCGTGAGCACAGTCTTGGCTGCAGTACAGCGGTTTAACAACAGCACCACGAGGATACACCACAAAGGTACAGCCGTTCCAATTTCTAGGAATGCATGCAAAATAAAAATTGAAACACAGAAGCAGTTCAGAAGATTTCAGTCTCCTTATTAGCCTTGCAGCTGTTTTCTGGACAGTGATATAAACTAGGAGCGAACAGGATCTTGGAAGCACCGTAGATCACAAGCCGAACATGAGCCCACAGTGTGACATGGCTGCAAAAAAAAAGGCAAATGCTATTTTAGCCTGCATTAATAGAAGTATAGTCTCCAAATCCTGTGAGAGAATCGTTCCCCTCTGCTCAGCACTGGTTAGGCCCCCATCTTGAGTTCTGGATAACCGCACTTCAAGAAGGATGTCAAAAAAATGGAATAGGTTCAGAGGAGGTAAGCAAGCATGATCAAGGAACCAGAAATGGAGGCCTGTGAGGAAAAACATAAAGGAGGCATTAGAAAAGATGACGGGGGAGAGAAAGGACAGCACTTTTCAAATACTTGGAAGGCTATCTTATGGGGGGGGGGGACAGGATCTGTTCTTGATGGTCCCAGAGTGCAGGACATGCAACAGGAAGCTAGATTTCGGTTGAATATCAGGAAAAAAACATCCTAACTGTTAGAGCAGTACGACAGTGGAAATAATTACCTCGAGAGGTGGTGAATCCTTGCACGTTGTCATTCTGTGTGTATCTGGGTGAGAAAATGTGTCTTTTAATTCGTGTTAATATTTGTGATTCTAATTCTTGATACTGAATCGATCTAAATGGGTTGTTCAGCCACCCAGAAGGGCATGCCATTTGGTCTGTTCTCCTCACGGCAATCTCGTTTGCAGAATGCCCTTTTGGAGGGATGGCTTGTTTGAAAGCCAAAATCTCCTCGCACCCAGAAAGCTAAGGTGTCAAGAAAATACTGCCCCTGGCAGTTCATTAAGCGGCCATTAAATGTACAAGAACTGGGAAAAGAAGTTGACCCTCTAGTAGAAATGATATAAGCTATTCTTTTCGGAGGATAACCTTCGGCACCATGGAAGGATTCTGTTCTCCCTCTCAGACATTTTACATTAGACGACTGATTTGATTGGATTTGCTTTCATTTCAAACATGGAAGAGGAGAACTAGCTGGGCAAGAAGCCAGAGGTTTTTTCTCTTGCCAAATTTTATTTGCAACGTAGGGTTAATGAATGACAGGGGAAAGGTGGTCACCCTGTCCTGCTTTTGGTCACCCCATAAATT